AAGAGGGAGAGAGAGATAGAAATATCAGTGAGAGAGAAACATGGACTGGCTGCCTCCAGCATGCCCCCCACTAGGGATTGAGCCCAAAACCCGGGCATGTACCCTGACTGGGAATCTAACCAGTGACCTCTTGATGCATGGGACCATGCTCAGTCTACTGAGCCACACCTGCTGGGCTGAACAATTTCTCAATGAAATTGTATTAGGTAAGCAATAGAGAAATAGCACCAAGTGCTCAATAGTGTAATTTCTGGCGTCTTAGGAATTTGGGTTCAAATCTCAAATTTGCCTCTTTCAGGCTGTGTGGCTCTATGCAAGTTACTTAATTTTTTCAAACATTAGGCTCCTCACCTGCAAAATAAAGATAATATTATACTACTTCCCACAGTTGGTATGATAAAATCAGATAATATACTTAAAGGGCTTAGCACCGTGGCTAGCCAAGTAGCAGGTACTCAGAGGTGGTTACCATCTAGACAGATAAAATTACAGTTTTGTAGACAATACTATGAAATCATTCTGACATAAGTTTCTCCTGGGTACCGCCCATCACCACAACAGTGCTTTGAAAAAGAAAATTACTGCAATACAAGCCCAAAAGGGCCACGCGTAAAGTGACGAGGCACAGCTCCCTGTGACGCTGAGGCCACACTGCTGGGTTCCGGCGCAGCTCTGCCACCTAATAGTTGTGTGGCCGTAGGCAAGCCTCTTTGCTTCTCTGTACCTTAGTTTTCTCATCTGGCAAGTAAGGCTAACAGTTGTGCCCACTTTGTAGGGCTGTTGTGAGTATTAAATGCATTAATTCTTTATATGCTGAGATCTGTCCCTGCTGCAACGTAAGCACCACATCTGTTAGCTACTATGATGATGGGAATCAGTGGGTGCAAATTACCAGAAAGTAGTTCATGGAATTGTGTCCAGGAGACAAAGTAGCTGTATGAAAGAAGTCCGAGACCAACACCCCTGACTCCTGTTCTCTCTTTTACCCCAGGCTTCCCTCCTCCTACCTCCCCTCTCTGCAGGTCCTTTTCTTTCCCGTCCAACCCACTTGTCCTTGGGCCCCCTGACTCCTGTGCTTTCTCCCAGCCTCACAGGCCACCCAAATGCCTAAGCTACTCCTTGGGTGTCCTGCAGCATTCAGTGCCTGCTGGATGGGTTGTCAAACAGCCAACAACACTGTGCTCCATAAACCTCTAGGAGTGAGGTTGGTTTGGGATGTAATTTGGTAGAGTCCAGGTTATCAATTGCACAACTGTTCTTCTCTCTTTTTTAAAGCTATGCTTATAAACATATCCAAATCAGTAGTATGTTTTCAAGGACCTCCAAAAGATGTTTATGTTTATTGGCTGGAAGAAACCCCTAATCAGAAAGAAAGGGAGGTGGAGGGCATGAAACCCAATCTTGCCTGCAATATAGTTTGTTCAGGCCTCACTTGGGCTCTGGTAGGTTCACCTGTCCTCCCTTTCGCTGGCTTGCGTAAGCCTGCCTTTCCCAAGGCTGCGTGGGATCAATGAGACAGTGGGCTTTGCTGTTAGACAGGCCTGAGTCTGAATCCCTGGCAGTCTTCTTACCAGTTGTTTGGCTGTGGGCATGTCACTTATTCTCTCTGAACCTAGGTTTTCTCATCTGTAAGATGGGGATAAGGACACTATTGAATAGGTGGTTAGGACTGAATGAGATGATGCCTGTAGAACAACTGGCTGCTACATAGTAGAGAAGGGAACAAAGTTTTGCCACCCTGAGGCTGTTTTATTTGGGGGGGGATATTGATTTTGAGCTGGTCATTGAAAAATAAAAGACTTGGAAGGAAACTCTGGTTCTCCCCCACTTTTCTGCCCAAGAGGTTCAGATAGAAAAATCTACTCCAGGAAGGGATCTGAGGATGTTGCCTTAACCTAATTTGAATTAAGTATGTTATATAGGAGGGCTCAGGCAGGGGCCATTAGCTGAGACACCCTGTGCCCCATTGTTTCTGAACCTCAGCGGGAATTTGCCTGCCATGTATATTCTGCTCTTTCTCAAGCACCTGTCAATCGACCATTTTTACTTCTGAAATCTAAGACCCTGTTTCCCTGCTTTTACTCCTTTGTCAAAACTGCCTCATATGCCCAGTGCTGCCTCGCTGTCTTTGGAATTTCCATGCCTATGTGAATCCCCCATGCGCGTGTATTAAAACTTGATTTTCTCCTGTTAATTTTTCTCTGTTAATTTGATTATTAGCTCAGGTAGAACTTAGAAGATGGGGGGTATTAATTATTTTTAGCACCCATAGTAGCCTCTAAATGTGTGTGTGTGTGTGTGTGTGTGTGTGTGTGTGTGTGTGTGTAAGTCAAAAGTGGCAAGATTCTAAGGCAAGGAAATCTGGGTCTTACTTAGAATGAAAAAGTTGCAAAATGACAGAACTATGTATTTTCCCTCGTTCTCTTAACCATCATCTCTATTTAAAGATTTTAGGCAGGAGGCAAAGGAGAAAGCCTAAATTTTAAAATGTGGACAGTTATTGCACAGAAGAAAAGCAAAAACATTTGATAATCAATACCATTGACTACTGACCCCAATATTTCTGACTTGACAAAATCCTTGCACCAGAGTTTTACTAATGTTGTATTTTTTTACCCCAAACATCTTTATCTCCAATCAAATTATTTTGTAAAACAAGCATAAGGACAAAGATATTTTTTTGTTACCATCCAGGTATCTGAAACTGCATGAGAAAAACCATGCATGGAGGGAGAATCATACATTACTGCCTGTCATGCTTCGACGTCAAAAACCCTAATCGAGGACCCCACAGCCTGGCCAGAGAAAGATCTGCTTGGTCCTTGCTTCACTGTCAACTTGACAGCCAACCCAGAAACCAGGACATAACCGTTCCAGGAGAATCTGGAAGAGGACTTCTATCGATCGAAGTGCATACCAGCGTCCACACTAATCATTGTCACTCTAGCACTGTGTGCTAGATCCCTGGCATATATATTTTTTGACCCACATATATGAGGTACCTGGAAGATACTTAACATCTAAACAAGTGAAGAACTTCCACAGCTTCCCGGGACATTCTGGCTTCAGATGTAGTTCTGCAGCCAACAAAGGGAATATTTCTGAACCAAGCATTTCTTTAAAATGAGGGAATCTTAATACATTACCACAAAGAGTGTTCAAAGAGTCCCAGAGGGAAATGCAAACATTGCTGAAGGTGTAAATTGTGGAAATATCAATATGAAATTTTACTATTTTTTTTTCTAGTTACATTTTCTAGATTGTCTTTTACAGGCCATCTGGATGTGAAAAACTTAAAAGCTAGTTATTAATTTAAGTCCATATGCTTGAGAACCTAACTCTATCATCCCATCTCCTAATGGGGCAATCTCACTCACTAAACATTCAGTCTTCTTTTTTTTTTGTAATTTATAGAGTTAAAAATATGAAAATACACACTTAATAACAGTAGTTTTCATTACAAGATGTTTAAATTGTTTTTAAACAAACAAACAAAGAAAAAAAAACCTTCACAGAAAATGTTTCCATTTACCTGTTCTTCTCGGATACTAACCCAAGCAATCAGGAAAGAAATAAGTCAACATTAATTATTATTGATTCATAGAAAGAGTATTGGTGCCTATTGCAAAGAATCTACATACAACTTTGTATACATGTATGTGTCTTTTCCAAAGGCCATTTCAAAATAAGCCCAGGAAGAGAGAACACACGCTGAGGGCTCACTTATTCTCCCACGTCCACTCCTACCTCTCACTACCAGAGATGCTTTAAAACCCTCACTTAGGTTAAACTGAGTCTAAGAAAGTCCTGGTGTCCTGGGCAGAGCTCAGCGCTGCAAACCAGAAACTCAGGTTTCCAAAGAGTGGGTTCCTGGTCCCAACTCTGTCACAGCCATGTGACCTTGGGAAGTCACCCGGCTTCCTGGGTCTCAGCTTCCTCTTCTGTTAATGAGAGAATGAGCCAGATGAGCTAAGGTCCCTTCTAGCTTTAAATGGAAAGAGAATCAGGCAGCAATGTGTGCTGTTTAACCTCCTTGTAAGTAGAACGTTTCGGCTAAAGAGTTAAACCAATGAACAACCTAAACAAGTCACAGTAAGTGCTCTTTCAATTCAAAAGCTGGACATCTGAAGGAATGTACTGAACTAGTTCACTTCGAACATGCTCAGCTCATTTGGATCAGTGTGAGTGTGCTTATTTATAGGGGTATTAACCACAGGATGCTAATAAGCCCTGCGTGTGAACTCAACATCCTGGGGAGTTTCACATTGACATACACAGGCTCACCACCAGAAGAAAACCCAGTAGTGCGAACAAAATTCAATTTCCTGATGCCACACCAGTGAGACTAAGCATTTGTTTTAGTGCACTTGTGTCTTTATTTTCCCATCTTTAAAATGGTGCTCCACTTACCACCTTAATGGCACGTTATATGAAGTCACTAAGAACTGTGAATGATTTCAGCCCAATAAAAAAGATAGAGTTTTTAATGTATCAATTCTAAGAAGAAAGCCCGAGAAATAAACTACAAATATAGTATTATTATATCTGCTCATCTTTAATCGTTTTCTTCTGTCTCTCCTCCAAAAACAGTAAAGGAGGGGAACTGGCATTTAAATAGCAAATGAACCTATAACCTCTATAGCAGTAACCTCTGTAGCAGAAGATTTTGAATCTTTTAGCACAACAGGTATAAGTGGCTCTTGAAAAGGACACTGATTTTGCTTAGACTCTCACCTTCCAGACCCTAAAGCAGCCTGGAGTTCTCAGTTGCAAAAGATCAAGCTGTGTTGACACCTGAGCTGGATTAGTTCACCTTTAAGAACCAGAATGAAGTGGAACCTGTACTGGCTTTCTCCTGAACATTCTACATGCTTCGATGGTCCCCTAGTTCAACCCAACAAGTTCAGCATTAAACATTCCTAAAATGAGTGCACAGATAGTACATCCCCGCCCCCAACCCTATCTCCAGTGACACTCTGGTAGGTGGCACTTCTGCTTACCCTTTTCACAAGGTAGCCCTCCCGGATCCTCTTCGGTTCCATGTCGGATGGACAAACAGATGGCTGGGTCCACTCTCAGACAAGTCCTCTCAGAAGCTCAGCCTCCTCTGAGAGCCGAGACACTTGTGAGCTGCTTTTCTATACAGTGAGGTCCCTTTCACAATTTCCCGTTGGCTGGCGATCGCATGATCACATCCTCTTCCCCTCACTGGGGTGAAAGATCAAAATAAGGAACTGCAGAGAGAAACTGCCCCTTCTGTGCTAATGTTGGAGACTTATTAAAAAGAACAGTTGTAAATTTGTATTACCGTAGGAAAATCATTCTCCTAAGCAGAAGAAACATGGTCAAAGGAAGCGGAAAATGAAGAGAAAACCTATTGAGGGAAATAGTCCTGACTTTGAAATTATTCTTGGAAATGCTTAATAAAAATACCAAGAAATTCAAAACCAACAGGTTAGCATAACAAAGGCAGCTACTATTAAATAAATGCCTACTTCTCTGCCAGGTGCTCTACCAGTTGTTTGTTTTTTATTCTTTTTTTGTGGTACGTGCTCCTAGCAGTAACCGAATCTGGGACTCTCTGGTCCGCAGGCTGACGCTCAACCGCTGAGCCAAACTGGCCAGGGCTCTACCAGTTGTTTTTCAATCAGCCTCATGTATTGCAGTCCTTACAAGTAACCCAGGGGGAAAGTTTATTATTGTCTCTATCTTAGATATCAATAAACTCATGCTCAGAAAAGCAAGCGGTTGTCTCAAGGTGACACAGCAGATAAGAGGTAGAAGCAGCAAAGAATAGAGAAACCTCACGGGGATACTTCTGCCTCCCATTGGCCTGAGGATCATGTGCCATTCGAACATGTTTGAGAAATTGAATATTATAGTCTCGGCGTGGTCACTCCGTTTAGATAAACAAATTCAAGTACTACAGCAGAGAATCCTATTGCAATGGTGTTTAATCTTGTGTTTCCCAAGTTTATTTGACCACAGAATTCTTATTTGAATAATTTCTATTACCATTCTTGTTATAGGTTGAATTGTATCCCCCCAAAAGAAGTCCTAACCCCCCAGTATCTTAGAACGTGATCTTTTTTGGAAATAGGGTTTGAGGGGAGGTCAGTTGTTTAGTTAAGATGAGGCCACACTGCAGTAGGTGGTACCTAAATCCAATATGACTAGTGATCTCATTAGAAGAGGAGGAAACCCACGGAGAGCAGACGGCCATGTGACAACAGAGGCAATGACAGTGATACATCTGCAAGCCGAGGAATGCCAAGGGTCACCGGCAAGCACCAGAAACTAGAAGAAGCAAGACTCTCCCCTAGAACAGTCATAGAGAACATGGGCCTGCCAACACCTTGATTTCAGACTTCTAACCTCCAGAACTGGAAGACAATAAACGTCTACTGTTTCAAGCTACCCAGTTTGTGGTGCTTTGTTACAACAGCCACAAGAAACTAACACAATTCTGAAAATGTCGTATTCTATGCAGCAAACTTGGAGAATGGTTATCTGGCCACATGAAAGTGGCCGGGTTCTTTAGTCGCTCTGCGCTAGGGTTTTCTCATGTGTAGGATGGGGATAATAATGTCTATTCAGTGGGGTCATTCTGAAGACTAAAGATAATACTTGTCAATGTTTAGAAAAGTGTCTGGAACACAGTAAGTGCCAGTAAATGTTAGTGATTTCTCATTTTCAAGGAGTCTCCGTTATTCTAGGGCTGATGCTTTTCAATGATAATTTCAACAAAGATTGTAGAAGTAATCACAAGACTAGATTTTTGACTAGTTCCCATTCCTCATTATACTAGTCACATTTTTTTGGCTGTAGTCCATAGAAAGCAACTCTAACATAGGCAAATAGGAATTTACTAGAAGAGCGTGGAGTGGTTCATAGATTCAAAGGAAAAATAAAGACTTGAGTCTTTGAAAGGACAGAAAGCAGGGCAGTGATGGGGTTCCAGGAAGCAAGAACTAATGGGCAGTTTCTTTGAGGCATGAAGCTGAAAGAATTTCAGTGGTTTTCAGGCTCTACAATAGTTTGCAGGACCAGGCCTTGGATGGGACTAGCTTGGCTCAGTGCTTACCTCTCAGCCATCTGGACAGTGCCTGAAGGGGGAGGGCCTATCCCCCAGAGTAAAATCAGGGTACTTTGACCAGTAAAAGAGTAAAAGGCCCCTGCGTAGGCAAAAACCCAGAAAATTCAGGAACAGTGAGATCTATTCTTGGAGTTTGCTGACAGCTTCCTGACCCTCTCCTCCTTTCTTCCAACTCGCTATCTAACCAGTGGTCATTGCCCCTCTATTTTTCACTTTTCACTTTATGCTAATGTAGGGTACAAAAAATTATAAATGGCTTGCCATCCGTTTCTCATTGCACCAAAATTAGTTGGACATTAGTAGAAATGTGGGGAGAGTAGGAGTGGAAAATCAACATTTGATGGCACCTGAGCAAAACAGAAACCAAATAAAAAGATGCCTTACCATGTCTGCATTTAAACAAGTATTTTGCGATATCTGTATTTTTACAAGAATTACAACAATGGAAACAGTTCAGAGGTTTACCGAGTCTGATTTCATGGTTAAATTGCCTTCATTTTATTTAATTAACCAAGTGACTTTGAAACTGTAATGTTTTCTCCCTTTGTCCAAATGTGCCCAGAGGTCATAAAGAATCCTTACTCTGAAATATCATGTTTCTTGGATGCCTACCATATAAAAACAACCCCCTGTGTTCTGAATAATGTATTTCAAGACATACATTTTGAAGGCTTACCATGTGCCAGTTCCTGGGCTAGGTAAAATGTCTTGCCCGAGTATCTTAAAGATGTTCATCAGATGAACATCACCACGGAAGGATTTGAGGCCATGGCTCCTGCTGCTCCTCCTCGGGCAGGTCATGCCTCCTGAGTGACACCTAGTGCCCAGCAGAGGGAACTGTCTGAATGAGGGACATATTTAGGACTTTCTCTTAGAAGAGTTTAAGCAAATGCCCTTCAGCTCTGTCAGAACCCATCTCTATATCAAATCATTAGAACCTCTTTCAATATCTTTTTTATGTTTGTGTGTCTAGACTTACTTTTAAAAAATCCCCTCCTTTTAATTCTCCCGCATTGGACCAATTACTTGGAAACATTCTTATGGTACATTTTATTAGTGTAAGGAAAATGTAGGACTTTGGAATAAGCAAAAAAGATAGCTGCATGTCAATTTCTGCTGAAAAAATGCCCTGCCCTACTTTAAGAAATGGTTCATGTAACCTGCCGACTAGTAATAATGGCCCGGAGTCGTGAAGAAAGGGAGTTCGGTGCTCCAACTCTGGCATCCCGAGAAAACTGCAAGACGCTCTCGGATGGCTTTGCAAGGCCTTCAGCAGTTTAAGTCTCCCCTTCTACAGCTCCCTCACATTGAAGAGGACAATCTTAGGAGGGTTTCTAATCACAAAAAGTATACAATTAAGACTATCCAGGATTTGGTGAGTTTAAAAGAAGCAGACCGTCACTATCCGAAGACATTTTTTGATATTTTGTTCAGATAGAGCAGGAGGGAGGGAGAGAGAGACTGAGAGAGAGAGAGAGAGAGAGAAAGAAACATCGACGTGAAAGGGACACATCAAGTGGCTGCCACCCGCACGACCCAACCAGGGTCGGGGACAAACTGCAACCGAGGACAAACTGCAACCGAAGTACGTGCCCTTAGTGGGAACCGAACCCGGGTCTCTCCAGACCGCAGGGCGACGCTCTAACCGCTCAGCCAAACCGGCCAGGGCCAGACCGTCACTATCTACGGCACTTCCTTGAAGGTGAAAAATGTGAAGAGGTTTGGCTGTCCTTGGGAGTTTTCCATTTGTGACGATGGACAGAGAATCACAGGCAGTGGATGATGGAGACAGCAACAACATCCCAGTAGGATCCCTAGTGACAGTGCTGGTTAAACTGACAAGGCAAACAGTGGCAGGAGTATTTGTAGAGGAGCTGTCCATCCGTGCTGCAGAGGAACACACAGCAGAAGATGTGCAAGGTGATACCAACAGGAATAGAACAAAAGGAGGATGGCAACAAAAGAGTAAAGGACCCCAGAAAACTACTAAATCAAAAAAAAAAAAAGAAAGAAAAGAAAAGAAAACTGTGAAAAGAAACCCGTACCTACGCCCTTATCACAAGCAAAGCAACAGAAACAAAAGCAAGCAAATGGAGTCATCGGGAGTGAAGCTGTAGTAAAGGAAAATGAAGACGTTTCTGACCAAGGCAGTGATTCTGAAGCAGAGAAAACCAATAGAGACTCCCAGAGTGAAGAGGAGAATGCTAGTGACAGAGACTCTGATAGAGAGCCAGATGAAGAGCAAAACAAAGATGATGAAACAGAGTGGCAAGAATTGCAATAAAGTATACAGCGAAAGGAGAGAGCTCTACTGGAAACCAAATCATAGGTAACACATCCTGTTTATAGCCTTTACTTTCCCGAGGAAAAACAAGAATGGTGGTGGCTTTATATCGCAGATAGAAAGTAGCAGACATTAATGTCTATGCCGTATTGTGTGTGTACACTAAAAGATACAGAAGAGGTAGAACTGAAGTTTCCTGCCCCAGGCAAGCCTGGAAATGATCAGTATACAGTGTTTTTAAGATCAGACTCCTATATGGGTTTGGATCAGATAAAACCTTTGAAGTTGGAAGTTCATGAGGCTAAGCCTGTGCCAGAAAAATCACCCACAGTGGGTGGGATACAGCAATAGGGGATGAAGACCAGGAAGACAGCGAGGGCTTTGAAGATAGCATTGAGGAAGAGGAAGAAGAAGAAGAAGATGATGACTAAGCAGGTCTATAAATGGACCATAATATTTGCACATATTTGCAAATTTTTGCAGTTTGGAAGTGTACTATAAACCAGAAGCAGTGCAGAACCAATGTTGAGGGAGGTGTTCTTTCCTAGAAATGGGTGTTTATTATTTTATAAAATATAAAAAGTAAAAAAATGACTGCATGTCTCCAGTGTGAAACTATGCTTCATTTACAGCACATATTTACAGATTATCTGATTCTATGGAGTTTGTGTTTTTCCTTGCATTTGAATTATTTTACAGTTCAGTAAATTGTGGATAACGGATGGCAATGCAAATCATTCTTGTCTATAGACATGCAAATAAATT